GTCAGTGGTTCTCAGCCTGAGCTACACACAAAAATCAATTAAATTATAACACCTGCCCCTTCATCCTGAGATTCTAATTATTTTTTTTTCAGTACTGGATATTGAACCCAGAGGCACTCTGCCACTGAGCTACATTCCCAGCCATTTTTAATATTTTGAAAGAGGGTCTTGCTAAGTTGCCAAGACAGGCCTCAAATTTGTGATCCTCCTGCTTCAGCCTCCTGAGTAATTTAGATTGTAGGCATGAGCCACTGCTCTTGACTCTGAGATTTTGGTTTAGCTCATCTGGGCATGGGTAGTTTTCCAACCTACCCAGGTAACTGATGTTCAGTCAAGGCTTCAAATTATGGACCTCAAAGAGTCCTTGGGGTTCACTAAGACTTCTGTGCTCAAATCAGTCAAATAAACTTATCAGACATTTGTAAAGATTCTTTTCCCTGTTTCTTCCCATCCCCAGCATGCCCTAGAAGGTTCTAGGACACCTTCTTCCTGTCAATTTATTCAATAGTGTTCATAGAAATATACATAACACTAAGTATAAACAGGGTGCTCAGAAAATATGGTCACCTCCCTCAGAATATAAAAAGCATCATTAACCTAAACATCTCAAATTTAAGGAACTATGTTACAGGGTCACCATTTATGATTTTCATTTGTACAACACAAAGCTCCCAGATCAGACTCTGTATATAACCTCCTGACTCAGGGCTGTGTCAGCCAGAAAAGGTAGGGGTCTCTTTATCATTCATCCAAGGATACCACACAGGCCAGAAGACCCTGTTCTTATGTCAAAGGATCCAGCAAGGCACTAACACCACACCCAACTTTGTGGGAGTCTCTCCTGTTTTTCCATATTTAGTGAGTAACTGAAATAAGGCTGCATGTAAGTGCTCAAAAGATTAATTCTGTCCAGGGGGATGGGATACAGAGGGCTGAAGTCAGGACACTGAAGCAGAGCTTGCAGAATGGCATATCCAGTGGAGAAACGGGAGACAAGCACTCCTGGCAGGTGGGGTGATCCCTGGCATCTGAAGCATTTGTATGCATGGGAGGACAGTGGTGAGGAATCCCAGGGAGCAGGAAAGGTGAGCTCAGGGTATGTGCTGATGGGCTTGCTATGGGCTTGCTATGGAGCTGGGAGATTTACCCAATGGGGAGCAGTTGCATGGTATAGTCAGATCTTGTCTTTTATATTGATGACACTGGTGGTGTGTAAAGGAAGATCTCAGAAGACTGGGGAAGGGCACAGTGGCCACCAAGACTCCAAGAAAGTATTGGAAAGGCCCTCAGTGTACTTGAGACTCGCTGAGGGAATCTTAAAATTAAGATTCCCTGGAGCTCAGGAGTAGTAACAACAGTAGTCTCTTGGTCACCCAGGAGAGATCAGCCCTAGAACCTCAGGCAGATATCAAAATCCATAGATGCTCAGATACCTTATATAAAGTACCATTCTATTTGCAAATCCTCTTGCATAATTTAAATCATCTCTAGATTACTTATAATACCTAATACAATGCAAATGCTCCATAAATAGTTGTTACACTATATTGTTCAAGGAACAATGGAAGGAAAGTCTGTTCATGTTCGGTACAGAGAGAATTTTTTTTCCAAACATTTTTGACCCACTGTTGGTTGAATCTGAAGAGGCAGAGCCCACAGGAGTGGAGGGCCAACCTTATCTGAGTCTTTTTCCTGCAGCCTCACATATACTTTGCTCATATACTACATCAAGGCTGCCAAGGCCACCTTATTTTTTCGGTTGGTTATCATTAATTTTGCCGTGGGCAAACCAAGGGCTCTGCATGTATATTTTCCTCACAAATATGATGTGATCAAAAGTCAAAAAAGGACATATCATCTTGGGAGACATATATCCTACAACCTCCCCAAACTGTTCACAATCAAGTGACAAAATAAGACATTGATCAGGGAGATTGAATGACAAACTGCCATTTCTTTCCTTCCAGGAAGCCCTATGAACCTAGACAAAGCATGAAACCTATGATAATCAGGATGTAAATGCTTCCCCTACAATTCTACAAGTGTTTTCTTATACTTAAGGGAATCTGAGTGAAGTCTTTTCTTTGGCCTCAAAAGTGTCATTATAATATCCATGCAGTCCAAAATATAATTTTTGCATTCATTTCCTAAGATTTACTTCTGAAATACATAGCAATGAAGAATCATTTTATGCTCTTCTTTCAACATATGCTGTCACCAAGGCTGAATATTTTTGTTGAAATGAAAAATAATCGCTAAGAGTTTATCTCCTGTCATTTAAACAAACAAAACTTAGGTCCCACCTGTCTTACCAAATCAGAATCTGTTTTAACAAGCTCCCAGCTGATCTCATTTATCGCTCCTGGACATCAGGTGTCCACATAACCTTTGCCATATTCACTTTATCCTCCACTATTATTCACTCAAATTCCTTTAGATTATTTAACTCTAAAATTTTAGTCGTTCTAAACAGCAACCATTAAATCATGGGTTTGATGAATTTCTTAAAAATGCACAGTAAGGGCTGGGATTGTGGCTCAGTGGAAGAGTACTTGCCTAGAATGTGTGGGTACTAGGTTTGATTCTCAGCACTGCATATAAATAAATAAATACATTTTTAAAAAATACACATTGAAATATATAACTATTTCTGAAAATCCACTTATGGATCAACTAAAGTTCCTGCAACACTCCCCTGGCCCCCAAAGTGACTACTGCCTCTCAAAGTTTCAAGGTTAGTAATCAAGATAGAGAACCTTAGAGAATGGGAGAAAAACTCTAACCACCAGGACTTCAGATAGAGCACAAATCTCCAGGATAGACAAAGAACTCAAAAAACTTAACACCAAAAAATAAAAATAATAACCCAATCAATAAATGGGCTAAGGAACTTAACAGACACTTCACGGAGGAAGAAGAACAAATTGTCAAAAAAATATGAAAAAATGTTCAACATTTCTAGCAATTAGAGAAATTCAAATCAATTGTCAGAATGGCAATTATCAACAATACAAGTAAGAATAAATGTTGGTGAGGATATGGGGGAAAAGGTTCACTTACATTGCTGGTGGTACTGCAAATTAGTGCAACCACTCTGAAAAACAGTATAGAGATTCCTTAGAATACTTGGAATGGAACCACCATTTGACCCACTTATCTCACTCCTTGGTTTATACCCAAAGGACTTAAAATCAGCATACTACAGTGCTGTAGCCACATCAATGTTTATAGTAACACAATTCACAATGGCCAATCTATGAAACCAACCTAGGTTCCCTACAAATGGATTATTTTTAAATGTGGCATATACACACAACAGTATAGGACTTAGCCATAAAGAAAAATGAAATTATGGCATTTGCCAGTAAATAGATGGAACTGGACACTATCATGCTAAGTGAAATAAGCCAATCCCCAAAACCAAAGGCAGAATGTTGTTGTTTTTTTAAAGAGAGAGAGAGAGAGAGAGAGAGAATTTCTTAACATTTTATTTTTTTAGTTATCGGCAGACACAACATCTTTGTTTGTATGTGGTGCTGAGGATCGAACCTGGGCCACACGCATGCCAGATGAGCGCGCTACCGCTTGAGCCACATCCCCAGCCCCAGAATGTTCTGATATATGGATGCTAACCCACAATCAGTGAGGGGAAGAACAGAAATTCATTGGATTCGACAAAAGGGAATGAACGGAAGGGAGGAGGGATGGGAATAGGAAAGACAGTAAAATGAATCGGACATAACCTTCCTATCCTAATATGTGAATACATGAGCAGTGTAACTCCATGTTATACACAACCAAAATAATGGGATCCTAATTGGAACAAGTCATACTTATTCTATGTATGTATAATACGTCAAAATATACTCTACCGTCATGTATATCTAGGAAGAACAATTTTTTTTTTAAAGTTGCAAGTTTGGGAAGTTTACTCAGCTGCTGCTAGGTCCAGTGCAACGAGGGACAAACTTTGCTAACCCTTCTTTTTCCAGGACCCCCTTTCTTAGGCCTGGGGACATCACTCAGCCCTATGGGAAGCCTGTGGCTGCAAAATGTGTCCTTCCCCTCTGTCCTTGTCCTACCTGCCCCCTCTGACACCCCAACCATGCTGGCTTTTTCTCAGAGGGCTAACCCTGAACTTAGAACAGAGTCACTGACTCTTCTTAGGGATAGCAGGTTTAACCTTCAATATGCTGAAGTGATTTGTTTTCCAAGATTCTGCTCAAACAGATGTGTTCATGGGCCCTGCTTTCATGCAGCCCTGGTGGAACAGCCTGCCCATCTTTCCAGCTTCACTTTCTCTCATTTTCTCTCTATTTTATGGCTTTGCTGCAGCCATTACTTGTATTTTGGTTCTTGGAACGCGGCTTCCCCTCTCATATTACATAAGCTTCTTCCTGACCCAGGCCCTTTTCACTTGGTAGATTCCTTTCAGCAGATGTTCATGTGACTGTGCTGCCCACACCTTGTTTTGGTTTCACCTCAAATGTCACGTCTTTCCCCAAGGCAGCCTGATGGGGCTAAAGTGCATCGAGTGCCCCAACCCCCCATCCCTACCTCACCCCACCCCAACCCCACCAGATGCCTTCTGTCATGGCAGTTTCCATCTGGGCTGGTGTTGCCCCTCAGGAAACATTTCCAGTCGTCACAACCAGAAGGTGTGACTGGCATCTACATGGGTAGCTAAGGGATGATGGTAAACATCTCACAACATACAGGACACCCCTGCAACAAAGTTTTCTGACCCCAAATGCCATTAAGAAGCCAGTCTGTATCACAATTTTTTCTTTTGCCTTAGCACTAATGATTAATAGGAATGGTGGATTTTATGTTTCTTCCCTGCTCAATCTCAACTTCATAAGAACTGGAGTTCCAGAATGGTTGTTGTTATATCTCCAGAACAGCACCTGGTGCCAAATTTTGACACTTTGGTCATGTCCCAGCAAGGTGAAGATTCCTGGCCCAACCTGAAAGATGAGTCTGAGAAAATGACAAGCCAGTTTTCAAAAAGAGCAAACAAATCTTATTTATTAACAAATGCACATACAACCACGAGGAGTCCCCTGCTTTCATTGCTTTCATGCGCTCACAGAATCACCCTATCTTTACAGCTATCAGTGAATGAACGTTTATGCTATTTCTTAAAGATATGCAAATGTTCCTAAGTTTGAATACACAGTCTTAATCATAGCCACATCCTCTTCCTTCAGGACAGATTATAGGTAATGGAACCTCAATTGTATCTTGAAGGATAAAAACAAAATTCAAGATGATCTATAAGGTTGATATATTTACAGAAAAAAGTCATAATAATGAAATCTCTCCCCTTTCTTCTTTGTTACCATCCTCCATCCCAGTTATTGACAATTTTTTTCTGTAGTATAAGGTAATAATTAAACTATTCAACATTAACTGTTTCAAAAAGAAACATTGTTTTTTAAAGAGATATCATAGAACAAGAGATTTATGAATGTAATATATTATAATTACCAAGCATGCATGCTAGCCCTGCTATTACTACAAAATCTACTAGGAGAAAATTATGCATTCTTTAGTGTTTTTGCCTTTTCAAAGACTTCTCCCCACCCCCGTTTTTGCTACTGGGAATTGAACCTAGGGGCAGTTAACCCACTGAGCTATATTCCCAACCCTTTTTTTTTAATATTTTATTAGAAACAGGGTCTCACTGAGTTGCTTAAGTCCTCGATAAATTGCTGAGGCTAGCTTTGAACTCAAGGTCCTCCTGCCTCAGCCTCCCAAGATGCTGGGATTACAGGCATGCACAACCACACCCAGCTTCAAAGATTTCTTACAAGTAACATTACATTAGAATTACCACTAAACACCAAGTTAGGTATGGAGAAGATTATACCTAATAGGTGAAAAAGCTGAGCATAAAGAACAAGTTATCCTAATGTCATCTAGTGTCACTGATAAAAAGATTAAAAATCAAGTCTTATTCTTAATCCTGTGTACTGATGGGCTTCCACTCACTTCCCATGTAATTTGTTTCACACAATTCTACTAGATACTGAGCTTGTGTGTTCAAACAAGTTTTGGAAATGCAAGATTAAACAGTACACTAGATTCCCAGATCTTTTAGCGTGGATAATAAATCTCCAGGAACAATGTGGAGACTAGAGCAGACATCATAAACTCAAAGCCCTACAGAAAACAGGCAAGAATCAAAAGTGAGTGGGCCAGAGAGCAGCACCCTGAGGGTAGAGCCCCAGCTAAGGGACCCCTGGACCACTTAAGCATGCAGCCCAGACTGGAGGACCTGGGTTCCATCCCCAGCATGTGCAAACAAAACAAAATAAACAAAACCAAAAGAGTACTGTCTACTTGACAAGCTTTCCCAATGATACTGCAAATCTAGATTTTTATTTCAAAGCCACAAATTAATGCATGTTGCCTCAGATTCAAGAAAAAGAATCTGAGGCAAGAAAGAATACACTCTAGTTGGAACATAATACATTTTTAGACTTTACCAGGCTGACTCCATCTGGCAAACCCAGAATAGAATGTATACAGATCTCATTTGCCCACAGAACCCTCACTCAGAAGACCTCGTGATTTCCTAGAACTCTGCAGAACAGTGTGAAAATGTGGTCTTTGACAGCACGCTCCCAGACCACTATGGCATGAGTAGCTCTGAACCCATGCCATGATTTCATGGTTCACTCAAATTGAAATTGAAATTACTACCCAACCCTATTAAGTGTTCATATGGAAATTTTTTTCTGACAATACCAGCTCTTGCACATTTAAATTTCTAAATAATCACATGAGTGACTGAAGACTGAAGATTCCTTATAATACACCTCTCTTTAACTCTTGGCAAAACCAAAGTGTCATGGAACTACCAGAAAAAGAAAAAAGACCTTGGAATTAATTAGAGAAGAAAAAGACCCTACAACTTTCAGCTTTCTGAAATAACTTTAAATATGAAAGTGGTCTGGAAATCAATTAGAAATATAGAATTTTAGAAGACACTAATGATAATTTTAAGCATTATTAGACTTGCAGTAGAGAAGGCAGACAGTCCTTTTTCCTACTCCCTCATTTTTCCCCTTCATTTCTGACCCTCCTCATTCTGAAAATTAGTTCAGAGAGCCTGTTGGTTGTCTACAAAAATGACTAGCATCAGCTGGGAGCAGTGGCACAGGCCAATAATCCCAGTGACTGAGGAGGCTGAGGCAGGAGGATCACAAGTTCAAAACCAACCCCAACAACTTAGACAGGCCCTGAGCAATTCAGCAAGACCCTGTCTCAAAGTAAAAAAATAAAATAAAAATAGCTAGGGGTGTGGCTCAGTGACAAAGCACCCCAGGGTTCAATTCGAATACCAGAAATAAAAGAAGGAAGGAAGGAAGGAAGGAAGGAAGGAAGGAAGGAAGGAAAGAAGAGAGGGAAGGAGGGAGGGAAAAAATTTGCCTAGCACCATGGCACAAGTGCAAGTAGAAGTAGCATAAATGTACGGAACCCCAAGGTAAATAGTTTTCTTCCCCTGGAGTCTACTTGGTCCACACTTCCTACTGCAGGTCTTCGTGGCTAAAATATCCATCCTGATCCACAGATCAGTCCATTCATTCATAACATTTCCAGAGCCAGGAGAAAACATATATTCCTAAGGTAGTGAAATTACACCCATTTCTATGTCCCCATGGGGGAAATAAAAACCTGCAGTCCCTTATGAATTGAACTTAGGAAACATAAGAAAGGTAACATTTGGAGTTACAATATAACAATAAGAGGTAATCATGAAAGGCTTCCAAAGGAAGTCTTCAGTTGATTTTTTTTTTTTATTCTTAAAAACTGTTCCTCTCTTTTTTTTTTTTTTCCTGACAGTTTTGGACAAATTTCCCTTCCTGTATCACTAATCAATTTTTTAATGGATATAAGAATGATTGGGGGGGGTGGGTTTCTAAAGAAAATACAGAATTCTAAACTGTTCATGGGTGAAAGAATGTTCTACAATGCCTGGAAAAACTGAGCTAGTTTTAGTATAAAAATTAGAATGCTGTTAATGAGTTTGTACAGAGCTTTGAGCTAGAGAGTCACTCTATCTGATGTGGCTGACTTGTTGGAATGCCAGGAGAAATGATGGAGAAAAGTGATCCTGGAGTTTAAAAGGAGGCAGACATGGTGATATCCGGTCACTACCTTCTGCAGACATGGACTTAAAACCCCAAGTGTGCCCCTGGGTCTTATTCCATGACATAAAGATTATCCTCAATGATGTACACGTTGTCTTCTGCTCGGGCTCGTGCATTTGCTTCACTTTGCAGGACTCCAATTTGAGGACCAGTCAATGAAGCCATGCTGCAGAAAGTGTTGAAGAATAACATGAGTAAAGAAAAAGAAGATCACTTCTAAGGAAGGAGCAGCACTTGTATTTATGATCCAGCAAGACTGGATATTTGAGAATCTAAGAGCCCTGTTCACAAAAACTATAAAACGAATTGTACCTTCTGGAAATGAGAAAGTGTTGCCCTGAAGATTAAGCTACAGGAGAGTATATAAACAACCTAAGAACTATTTAAAAAATATATATACTGGTGTCCTTCAGGGTATCATATAATAGAATACAATAATGGGAAAGGTAAAAAGACAGATATCTGACACGGAACTGAGTTACTAAATAAAGATGCATAATTTTTTAATGTGGCTAAGAACTGGTTGACTGGTGTGTTTACAACTGTGGATTGTGACCTTCTGTAAAAGGCTATTTAACTGCTTAGTGATCTATACCCTGGAAGATATAGAAAAGTCTTGGATGTAATGGAATAGTACTGTTTTACTAATGTGTACCAGATCATGGTGTCAGAAAACCTTACTGTGATTGATGATCAAATTTCAAAATCAGGGGTTGATTGCTTTTATCACGCATATGCTCACACACACCAAGTGCACAAAAGGGCAGACAATGGAGAGGAAGGCTGTAATTTTTTGGAGAGAACTGCTGGTATTCCATGTGCCTGCCTTTCACATGAGTGCCAGGAGATGCTTTAGTAGGACTACTTGGAGAGTCTACTCTGTACCTCCTGTTATGTGGGGTACCCACAGTGGATGGATGTTTGAGTCTCATAGGAATCAAGGAGGTACAAACCAGGGAAGAAACAGATTTAACACCTGTGAGGGGTTTGATATGGCTGGCATTTTGTAATTTGTATATAGTGACAGTTTCTACTACTGAAAATGTGGAACCTGAATCTTCATTCATCCCCAGATGAAGAACAAGCCCCCACTGATATATTTAAGGCAACATTAGAAGGCGTGGGGTATAGCTCAGTGGTAGAGGGCTCACCTAGCATGTGCAAGACCCTAGGTTTCATCCCCAACCCTGCAAAAAAATTCAATTAATTTTTAAAAAATGAGATAAAACCTCTCTATGGTCCTTAAAATGGCTTAGTTATAGATCTATGAAAACAGTTTAGGTGTCAATAAGCTCAAATGAGTCAGTGTGATATAAACACCAAAAAGAAAATGTCATGAGGAAATCTCACATTAAAATATGTACTTTTTTATATTTTACATTTTATATAATGTTTTTTCTTTATGATTTAATGCAAAAAGTGAACCTCTTAAAAAAAGATAACTGTAGAATATTCTTAAGAATAGAAAACAAATAGCTAAAAGGATACAATGTTCCATGACCTTTCACCAATAAGAAGCATTTCCTTTTCCTTTTTTGAAGCAGTTGGTGAAAACTATTTATGAGCCTGGGTCCCTGAGATTGAGTCCTTTATGTACTGTGTAGTGTGACCTTGGATGTCCCTCCATATTTCTGAACCTGTTTCTCTAATCTGTAAAATGAGGCTAATAATACTGCCTACCTCTTAGGTTTATGGTGGTGAAGGGCATGATTGAAATAATAAAAGCCAGCGTGTCCTTCGCAATGTGCTGGACCCTGTCCAAGGCACGGTCTAGGGATTGCCATGTCATTAACTCAGACACCGGTGAGTCTGTGTAAGCCTCCGATGAAGGAGAACTAGGAATAATGGAGGGCAGCCCAAGAGGCATGGATACTGAGTCAAAGAATGTCCTTGCTCAGAGCCATGCTGAAGGGAATGAAGCAGGCCTAGTTGGCTTCACTGGGAGCAGGGGACTGCCCGCCACAGATGCACTAGAGGGGATCTAAGCTTTAACTGGGCAGCAGGCAGGACAGACAGAAAGAGCTTCACAAATAGAGTAAACTTCAGTGCCCTCAGGGGTAAAGGAGTGGAGCAGGCTGCATGTGGGGGGAGCTGTGGTCAGAGCCTTTGCCCATCTTGCCCCTTCAGCCAGGAATTATCCTCCTCCAAATCATCTGCTCCCTTGGGCTCAATCAAAAGTTCATCTCCCTGCTCTGTTATCCTTGGTGTTTGTCTGCAGGCATGAAAAGGGCCTTGTTTATTTATTTTTTATTTTTCTCTGTTTTGTTCATCAACTTGTAATATAATAGGTGCTCAATCAATGCTCAATAAAATAAAAGGTTGAATAAAGTGTAAGAGTGAATCAATACAATTCCTTCAATATACAGCTCTGTCAAGCAATTCATTTCTTTTCACCTAAGAGCGTAGGATTGAGGTGCCCCTTCTGCACAGGTTCTGCCACAACTGTACGGAAATACAGAAAGCCAAAAATGTCACTGCAAGGTATGGATAACAACAGAGGTGTCACTAAACTAGAATTTCAGGATCCAAGGTGTTGAATGGGTAGTTTAGGAGAAGAGTGGAGAGGAATTTCTCTTTATTTTTCACTCCAGTAAGGACATCAAAAGATATCTACCCCAAACCTTTCAAGCTTACCTTAGTGGCTGCATCTTCTTTCTGAATAAGAAATACTCTAAATAGGGAAGGAAGATGGGTTGAACATTTTAGTAAAAGAGTCCATGATATCTTCTTGCAATCAAGTCTATTATTTTGTTGTGACTTGAGCCCTTCCCCCGTGACTTCAACAATTCCTTCCTGTGTCCCCACTCGAGTCTACAGGACCCAGGCACACTCTTTATTGCTCAGTGTCTCATTTTCAGTAATGTCTGGGATGTTCACCCACATATCCTGACTTGCTATAATGGGAATTACTAAATTATCTTTCATTTAAAAAAATGAGCCAGGCATGATGGTGTACACCTGGCTCAGGAGACTGAGTCAGAGGGACCACAAGTTCCAGGCCAGCCTCAGAAACTTAATGAGGTCCTCAGCAACTTAGCAAGACCCTCTATCAAAATAAAAAATGAAAAAGGCTGGGGATGTGGCTCAGTGCTTAAGCACCTCTGGGTTCAGTCCTCAGTACCAAAAAAAAAAAAAAATTATTTTTTAATTTAAAAAACTGAAAAAGCCCGTGACTTTTTTAATAAGCTACTAGAAAACAGGCATAAACCAGGTTTGTCCTAGGCTACCTAGGACATAAGATCCCATCCAAGAGGTCACCTCTTATCAGAGACTTTTTTCAAATTTTATACTCCCAGTAATCCATCTCCTTAAGAGAGAATAAGTAACTGTTTTTGTTAAAGAGGGGAACATATTTAAGGTATTTTACCCAATTTCCAAATAATCATTTTGGCTAACCAAGTTCTAAATTATCAGGTAGAAATTTCCTTAAATTTAACAAGTATAATCAGTTTTCAGTTTTCTGCCCAGACCCATGGAGTAGATTGGTAATGAGTTCATGGATAATGTTGTACAAAATAGATGACTGAGATTCTTTCATGAGGGGCAGTTTACATTGAGAGAAACACAGCAGACACACACACACACACACACACACCTCACAAAAGGGGCATGAAGCCCTGGGTGGCTGCTTCTTGAAGACCTTTGTTCTAATCCTATTCTGCAAATAGTTCCCCCTCCATGCTTCATGTACTAAATAAGTATTCTGGTGTCATCAACAATATCACCCCACGGGGACAAAAAAACATATCTTGAGGGGAGGAGAGAGGACACTGTGTGTGTTACAATGGCCTGTCACCTCCAAATCTCAAATCTATGCAGCACATTCTTATTTCTGTTTTGTTTTTTTCTTTCTTTCTTTCTTCTTTTTTGGTACTGGGGATTTAACCCAGGGATGCTTAACCACTTAGCAATATCCCCAGCCCTTTTTATTTACTTATTTTATTTTGAGATAGGGTCTCACTAAGTTGCGTCGGGCCTTGCTAGGTTGCTGAGGCTGGCCTCAAATTTTCAATCCTTCTGTTTCAGCCTCCATAGCCATTGGGATTACAGGCGTACACCACCACACCTGGCAACTCTTATTTCTTAGTATTTAATTTCTTTTATGGAGAACTGATATTGAATTTTTCTCTTCAGGGAACCAATAATTTAAAAACAAAGAACAAAGTTAAGAAACAATGATATGAAGCAAAACTTCCACTAAAATGTTAGCTCCATGAGATTTACAGAGATTTATGGCAAAAAAAAAAAAAAAGATATTTTCTAAGTAAATAGTAACAGCCGTGGACTTACCATATGCCAGAAATCATTCCCAGCACAACCCTTGAGGAAGAGGCCCTACCACGTGTGTTTTACAGATGAGCATTTGGGGACTCAGGGAAGTCATGTGATTCCAATCACATGCCCCATGGAGTCACTTAAGTGCAGACAGTGTCTGTAGAACCCTTGCTCTAGTCATTGGGAACAACCTGGAAATGACTTACTTTTAATAATTATGACAATCGAAACAGCAAGCAACACCAAGGTGGAAATTGTGATTCCGACGTAGAGTCCGCCATTGGTCATCCCTGGGCTTTGTGCTGGGAAGACCTGCTAAGGAAACAGCAGCAGACTGAAAGAGTCTCCCTGAGAATGATGAATAGAAGGCAGTTGTTTGCATATGTTGCCACCCCCCATCCATCGGCACCAGACACAACTTCTAGAAATTGAGACAAGACCAAAGAATTTCAGTGAAATTCTGTGATGACCTGAAATTCAAAATGTGCTTTAGGACAACAGAAACCTTTGTCAACATTCAAACTGTTTGCTTAAAGCAGGTTTGTGTATAATGCATGCAAATTATGTATGTTTCAAAAGTCAATAGGCTATTTTCATAAATGCATGGTCCTATGATATAAGAAAGAAAATAAACAGTTTTGTTCATATATAAGTTGACTTGATCTGATATACGACGTGCTTCATTTTTGAATTCGATCCTTTACTGTAGTCTGTATTTTTTTTAAATATAATTCAAGATTCTGTGTTATGATAAAGACTTGGAAAGTAGCCCTGCTCACAAACATGACCCTGAGTAACACTTTAGTAATCAGGTGGAATTGGGTGGAATTGTAGAATTGTGTTTAAATCTCCTAGTGCAGATCATAAGGGGATGCTACATCCTGAAAGAACCCTGAAACATACCAGGTTATCATGTTAGGCACGATAGTTTCTCTCTAATTCCAAGGGGAGTCCATTGGATAGTGAAAGTGAAGGATCAGAGAAACAGATCAAGTGTTTTCCCATATAAGAGGTTAACCTCTGAAGTAGAATCCCTACTCTTCTACTTAGTTGCTGTGGACAAGTTATTTAGCCTCTTTGAACCTCTGTTTGCATATATAATAGAGTTTATAGTAAGTTCACAGCTGTTACTATTTACTTACAAAAAGTCTCTTTTTTTGCCATAAATCTCTGTCTCATGGAATTTTTGCTTTTTGCATATTTAATAGGGTTCTTGGGTAAGGTGCTATTAGGTATTTCTTGGTGAACCCTATAAAGAATATAGAGGAAAGTAACTGGGTCATCATGGCTTAGAAGGGACCTAGAAAATATATGGGAGGGAAAGAATATGCTGTTATGAGGAGGAAAAGGGATAGGCAGTTGGAGAATGGAGGTCAAGGAAGCAGGCTTTGCTTTCGTTTTTTGATTATATGACATAAATATTGCATGTTTATTTTAGAATACTCAGCTAAGCATAAAAAAGGAAATTAAACTCAACCAATATCTAATATCGAGAAACAAGTACTATTACCAGTTTGCTTTATGGATTCTTTTCAAGTTTTGTCTCTCCAGGGTCTTTTCTGAACAGGAAAAATTACTAAATTGCATATATAATTATATATATAAAAGTTATCTTACACAGCACAGGCACTGATCAGTCTGATGAATATAGATAGAATCTGTATGTTTTGGCTAGATATCTAGATCTTGACATGTTTATTCAAAGCACAAAAAAAAAAGCACATTTTTGCTACTGTTGATCTTGAACATGCTTCTAAATTGCCTCTACTTGCTGCTATATATACCCGTTCTGCACATAACTAAGGTCACTCATCATTCAATGTTTTGTTTTTTAATAATAGCTATAAGTCTGATCGTTTAGCAACACAATAAATATTCATATAATGGTAGTTCTGATATCGCTCCAATACCTACAGATTCTATCTACCTTCATCAGACCAATCAGGGCCTGGTGGTGTAAGATAATTTCTAAAATATCACTCCTATGTAGTCTTTTTTTTTTTTTTTTTTTTTTTTTGGCAGGGCATACTGGGGATTGAACTCAGGGACACTCAACCACTGAGCCACATCCCCAGCTCTATTTTGTATTTTATTTAGAGACAGGGTCTCACTGAGTTTTAGCACCTCGCTTTTTGCTGAGGCTGGCTTTGAACTTGCAATCCTCCTGCCTCGGCCTTCCAAGCTGCTATGTAGTCTTATTGTCACTAAGGTATACAGCATGAGATCATTTGGTCCCACAATAAACAATTCCACCATGCCAGAGTTTTTGGAAGTTCTCTTTCAATGACTGTGTGTGTCCTTTCTCACAATTCACTATCAGAAGGACTATTCTCTGCCCTCAGACTCTATTTGTTGCCTCTGAACTACTTGCACATACTAAAACAAAGGCTGTTTCAGGAGGCAAAAGAAAAGACCTGATTGATAAGTTTGTCTAACTTCTTTGGAAAGACAAAAAACCCTGATAAGTATCATGAGACTAGGGCTCCTCTGATTTTTCTTGTGCTCACTGCAGAAAAAGTATGAGAATACCCTACAGAATCAAAATTAAGACCTTAATACCTTTAATAAGTCATCATATGAGAAGAGATATGTGCAGAAAAAAAAAATTCACAGAGGCTTAAGAATTTCCACATAGAATGGTCCCTGTGTGGGAAAAGGACATTAGTGGGTCTGTCCTTGGGCAGGACTCTTGCTTACTTTGTGTTTCTGTTTGGGAGGGCCTCTGCTCCATTCCATCCCAAATAAAACCCTTCATGGTATATTAACATGCTTTCCTTGAATTAGTTCATTGCTTTTTGTCCTAATTTTTGACCACAGCTAAGTTTGAGTGGTGTGTGTATGCGTGCATGCATATACGTTATTTAGTAAAATATCACCTAACAAACTGACACACCTCAATGAACTATTCAACTTAAAGCATCCTATTTAAGATTCCAATTCTTTTCTTCCTTCTCTCCAACTTTTTTTAAGGAGAAAAAATTCAATCTATGGCTACTCTTACAGAACTAGTCTTTAGATGCAAGTTTGCTTCCAGGAAGACAGACAAGTGAGCCTGACTAATAAAACAGGGAGGAATATGCTTACAGTCTCATTGTTTTGCCAAAGGCCATCTGAAGACTGTGTCATGGTGCTGTTCCCATCTGTTTAACAAGAAGGAAAAATTAATTAGAATTACAAAAATATTGGATTTTCACTGAAGAAACTATATATATATTTGCACTGCCTTCTGGCAATGAATGGAAAATTGAATAATTATACCACCAAATGCTGCTAGCCTCCCAAGAGTCGGGCCAAGCTATTAACATTTTAAAACCTTATCCTATGAGGTCATGGTTCCTCACCTTTCTATCATGGACTCTTTGACAATAGAATCTCTTTTAAAAATTTTGTTGTTGTTGTTGTAGATGGACACAATACCTTTATTTTATTTTTATTTATGTGGTGCTGAGGATCAAACCCAGTGCCCCACACATGCAAGGCAAACATTCTACCACTGAGCCATAACCCCAGCCCTGGACTCCTTTTTTTTATGGGGAGAAATATATGAACACAAAGTTTTACAATTTCATAGGAATCAGAAAAGTTCATTCATGCAACCAGACTAAATCACACTTGAAGGTAATCAATATTTTCATGCTGCTAAGAAACTGCAGATGAGCACCCAGAGGCTACCTGTGCACCTTAGGCTAGAACAGCCCTATTCAGAATGCACTTTAGAGGCTGGGGTTGTAGCTCAGCGGTAGTGTGCTTGCCTCACACGTGTGAAGTACTGGGTTAGACCCCAGCACCACATAAAAACAAATAAATGAAATAAAGGTATTGTGTTCATCTACAACTAAAAAAAAAAAAATATCATGATGTGTAAAACAAGATGCATGCAATTCTCAAGTTATATGCCAAAGTATTTAGATGTTGGTCCAGAAGCACATTAGAAAATATTTGCTATTATCAGCCACAAGACCAATGCACAATCTACTATTTAAGGGATGGGATTTTGTATAATAAGATATATTGACCCTGATGTTTTGAACATTCAAATTTTCCAAGTGTTTTTGGAACATTTAGTTTATAAGAGAATAAATCATTTTGTCCTTTGTTGGCATCTATAGGTCAAATACAGAAGTGTTTTTCCTGAGTATCTACCATATACTAAGCACTTCACATCCTAACCAGTTCTTTAGTCCTATTCTATGGGTGCTGTACCAAATGGACTGGTGAAACATGCTTCCAGCTTTAGCAAATGACATGAGCCTCTGCTTAGTGAGCACCACACACATTGCACTCTCACCAAAGGCAAACACTGAGGTCTATGCAATTCCCTAAAAATACACAGCCCCAGCAGGAATAAAATCAGATGAATCCTTCCCCTCCACCAAATATTTACATTACTATGTTTACACAGAATCAAAGGCAATATCTAGTTTAGACAGATCTAGAGTCTAGGCTCTGTGACTTATTATCACCTTCAGAATAGACCTGGGTGAAGTAGTAAAAATATTATGAACTTGAATTAGATAAAAGTGTTTATTCAATGCTTACAATGTTCAGTAGCAATGTGACCTTGATAATCAGAGCCCTTTGCAAACACACGTAGGCACATATACATGTATGCATATGCATTTGTGTGTAAATCTATATATAAATATATACACAAATATACAGATGTTTCTTGCCAGCATCTATTTAAACTATAAGCTATTAAAAGTATATATTTAATTTGGTATAATTAAATTAGATGATGCATGTAAAGTACTTAACACTATGTTGGAAAATATCCGTTTTAACATCATCATCATCACCATTGTTGTAGGACAGTGGAGCAGAGGGTGGAGGTGAGACCATGCAATGCCCCCACATCCTTTGCTGTTGTCATCCAGTGGAATGGCCGGGGGCATGCAGCTAGTAACTGGTGGCTGAACTGGGAACTGTGTGTCTCCAAAGCAGAACTATAAGTCTTCCTATTCTGCTTTGAAACAATTCAATGAGATAACGCGTAAGCTTCCTGGCACACATCTTTTGAAGGTGGGTGGCTGGCCATATGACAACCTAAATCCCTTCCAGACCTAACATTCTTTGCTTCTGTGGAGGTTTAATCGGCTGAGGGTTGACATGGACACAGTGAGGACTTGGCAGTCACACAAATCCTGGGGACACAGCTGTTCAGGTGTCTGTTTCACTCTGGAAGACCCTACCTTGACCAGGTTTTGGTGACATGATATTTTAGAGAATGATTCCCCATTCCTACCTTTTTCCTCCCCACATACTCAAAGATGGGGTGCAGCTGCTCCCACTGCTGTTACCTTGTGTTTCTATCTATTTTCATTTTGTTTTTGTGCCTGGAAATAGTTTCCACTAAGGACTCCACTTTCCAAACCAAATGTCACCATTATCTAATCCCTACTGAATGTGTCCCTGTGTGAATTTCACGGCAGGTCCATTTTAAATTAACCAGTTTCCAGGAATACTTGGCAAAAGGGAGGCCATAAGGGGGTGAGGGCCCACAGATTGCAACCACTGAGTAGAATGAGTCACACACACACATGGAGTCCTGCAAAGCTTGACCTTGTTTGGTTACAGCACAGGTACAAGGACACGTAAGCCAGCTCTGAATCACAAAGAGGTTCTGTATGCCATGTGCTCTACACTTGAGCACTGTGGGTAACAAAGTGCATTAGCTGAGAAATATGACAGGCTTCTGTGTCACCTTTCCTCATCAAGAAAAGACAGATTAACTCCATATTTCTAAAGAGTAGAGATTTTATGGGGCCTGGGCAATAAGGCAGAATGTTCAGAGGGAGAAGCAGGATCTCAGTGTGACATACATCCTTGGTGCTGTTTTGGTCCATTTGGGCTGCCATAACAAAATGCCCCAGGCAAGTTAGTTGACAAAAGAAATTTACAGGTCACAGTTTTAAAGGCCAGGAAGTGCAGGATGAAGTTCATCACTTCCTCAGAGACAGTGTCTTTTGTGAGTCCCCAAGTGAAGAAAGGGCAAATTAGCACCCTCAGGCTTCTTGATAAAGGAACCAATCTCATTCATGAGGGCAGGGCCCTAGTCACCTCCCAGATGCCCCACCTCTAAATGCTATTGCTTTGAGGATTAGATATCCATATTTTAATTTGTGGGGGGACATAAACATGTAGACCGCAGCACCACCTCTGAATGCCCATGTAAATACAAGATTGCCAAGGTAGCTAGGATCCCCCAGGTTGTACTTAGGAGGAACCTTGGAGGAAACAACATGGATGGACATTTTGGTATTTGGATTTAATTGTTTTTAAGGCCCTGACCCAAGAGATCAAGCCCAGTAATGAGATTGGAGTCAAAACTGGTTGATTTGACTTAGGAAAATTGAGTCATATGTATGTAGATATTTCCAAATCATACGTGTTGCCTGTACTGGTCTTATGGATTCAGGATGTCCCAAGTAATAGTAGTAGCTGCCATTGTATCTATCACTTAACCCCTGTGTAACCATGTCCCAGGCCCTTCATCTCATTTAATCTTCCTAAGGATTCTATAAGATCAGCGGCATTACATCCATTCACATGTAATAAAACAGATTCAGAGAGAGTGGCCCTCCTCAGCCCTCATGTCAGAACTGTCTTACTCCAGAGTGAGTGCTCTCCCTGTCAATGGTTATCAAGATTCGGATACTCCCAGGGATTCAGGGGAGAGAATGTACTTACCTGTTGGGCAATAGTAGAGTGGTAAGCTGGCAGAGGATGTCCTTGTTTCCTGCAGGGTCTTAGTCTGGGTCTCTGCAGCCTGAGTTGTAGTAGGTAAAGTAGCTACTAGAACAAAAACAACAGAAGAACCATGTTCCATTTGTGGAGGGAAATTTGCACCCCGAACAAAAGTAAAAAACAAAACAAAACTGAAATTATAAATTACCACCAACTTCCCACAGTTCCCTCACCTAGCTTTCCTCAGGAAAAATGGCTCCCACCTACCCACTTCCAGCCATTCTAACTCCTCTTAGAGATTTACTCAAGGATGGCCTTCAGGCTTTGTACTGCTATCTAGTCACTTTATTATAATGACAAGAATGTGACCCAGAGCCAGGGCTGTAGCTCAGTGGTAGATTGCTTGCCTAGCACATGTGAGGCACTGGGTTTGATCCTCAGCACCACATAAAAATAAACAAATAAAGGTATTGTGTCCACCTACAACTAAAAACAAGACAAAAACTATTTAAAAAATCATCTAAATAAAATTCTAGATAGTTTTAACAAGAGACAGAATTATTTCCCTTCCTATTCTTCTAGTCATTTATACTTCCTTTAAATAAAGAGTCTACAACAGCACATCCTACACAGGATACCCAGTTAAGTTTCATTTTATTAATATGAGTAACATTTCACTTTCAGGGAACAGGGCCTGGAAATTTCCACTAACTTGCCCAAGTCTCTTCACTATGATGTCACTCTGGATTTCTTGACCCTACTTAAGTATACCAGATTGTCCACACATTTTTCTGGACAGATGCACATATTTGACCAACAGGTACAAAATTTAATTTACTGAGGTCTCTTCAAGATGACAAGGTTGCACAATATCTTGGCCTAGCTAATGATTTGCAACCCTAAAATCAGAGTTTCAGATAGACCCTGAACCCCTCTCCTTCTGCACTTGCATTCTAACCATTCCTTTGTTAAGAGTGATTTCCTGTGTTATCTGACTCATCTTCCATTTCTCGTCAGAACTTTATTGAACCCAAGGTGTTGTGAATGCTATGCAAGCATCTATCATTCATGTCTCACCAGAAAGCTGATACTGCGAACTCTCTAATACAAAGCTATTTCCTTTTCCTTTTCTGAAATCTTTCCTTTCTTCCCTATTAAACAGCTTACCGATATACAGGCTTGGTCACCTGGCTCTTTAAAAGATGTTTACGTGGCTCCCTTAGAATACCACAGAATCTTGGAGCCAATTAGTGGTAGTGGCTGACCAAGAATTCCTGACCCTGGGCTTTCCTAACTGCCGCTCAGTGGTCTTCTGCATTGGCTTCCCCAATGCAGTCTTGAAAATTTTATGTTTCAACATTCCCTTTCTCGTGTTCTGACCTGTTTTCTTGTTTGTTTCTCATGCCCAAACATTTGGCTCTTTAGGGAACAAATTAACCAGAACAGCACAAGAGAATCAGATGGCCATTCTTAACCCAATTTAATTCTGTGCAAGAAATCTCCTGAGTTTAATTTTTTCCTCCAAGTTTGGGTCTTTGTGACAGTTTTCATTTCTCTTTCAACCTTATTTTCAGTTCTTCCATGAATATTTTAGGCAACTAGCTTATGCACCGAGAGACACAGATGTAAAACAAAGTGTCCCTGCGTAAGATTAGCTAGGGTGCTCACCTCCCTCCCGGACTGTGAAGATCAACTTTGAACCCAACCTCTTTAGGAAACTATCAGGATAAGATTAAGACTCTACTAATACCACACCCCAGGAGGTTCATGGAGCTTTAAATGAAGCCAGTAACTTTTCCATGTTTTCCAAACCAAGTCCACAAATACACCCACCTTAGCAATATTGAGAAAGTCCAAGAGATTCTCCAGTGTGTTCAATTGCCTGCAACAAACCTACTTTTCTTACAAATTTTTATGGCTCAAAAATGCCAGTTATAACCTAACATCCTCTCTTCCAAACTCAGGTCATAGCCCAATCCTTCAGATCCCTCTTGGTTAGATACGTAGTTTAATGGGAGTCCAGGGAAATCAAGATGTTCCATCAGATTGCTCTCACTAAGAGGCTGTGACACTTAGGTTACTCCTCAGAATCCAGAGTCACCTTAAGGGGTCAAAGTGCTTCAGGGGGCTTTGAGAATCTCTTCTAAAGGTTATTTTTTTAATCCTGGAAATAGAAGACTTGAGCTTAAACGTGTCTGTGGGACACGTTTCCCTCCCCTGTAAATCATTTTCTATTTTGTATTCAATCTTAACTTATCTGTGTTGAATTTGAAGTATGGACAATGTGACATGAATTGAGAGCATGAGCGGGTATATTTGACATCCCTGACATCCTTAAATATAATGCTCACTTATTAAATACGTAGCACTTTTGTGATTTCCACGCTATATCAATAAATTAAAGGGTCCTTGAAGCAAAGCAGTGTAAGACACTGACTGCCACCCAAAAGACAAGGTAGCTTTATAAAGCCATTATCATGTAGAATGTCAAAACAAGAAAATTCACTCAAACATAAAGCTCAGTGTTCCTGATAGAAGGCACCATCCAGCTGTTAAAAGTACCGGCCCCAAATTCAAATGAATAGAGATTGAACCCTAACTCAACTACTTTCTATCTTTATGATTTTCAATCATGAACATTTTTTGTGTGGGGGTGGGGGATACTGGGAATTGAACTCAGGGGTGAGCCACATCCCCAGCCTTAGTTTGTATTTTATTTAGAGATAGGGTCTCACTGAGTTTCTTAGCGCCTTACTTTTGCTGAGGCTGGCCTTGAACTCTGGATCCTCCTGCCTCAGTCTCCAGAGCCACCGGGATTATAGACCTGCACCACTCAACCAAGAACTTTTTGATTCTGTGTCTCAGTTCCCATAACTATAAGACAGGGTTGAATCACACCTATAATAGATATAACCTTCCTGAGAAATGAATGACAGAACATTGCAAAGCATGCAGCACAGTGTCTGGTGAACAGGAAACAGAAACATCAACTTGGTTGAAATATTATTTTCAACCGCAGGGCCCAACTTCAGAATGAACGAAATGAGTTCTGAATCCAAAGAGTGTAACTCTTGGCTTCTGGAATTCCCCATGTTTTCATCATAAATGGATACCCAGCTGAACCAGATCCACACCATCCCCATTGGGTAGGTTGGATCAGTGCTCCAAATAATTTTTTGGCTAATAATGAATCATTTTAGAATTTTATAAAAAGCAACGACTGCCCTCACTCTTCAAATGCTTATACATATCCAACATAAATGCTTAAACATACCCAACATTCAGGTAACTTGAGAAGAGGGTAGTATCACAGACCAAAGGAAGCCCAGGTTGGGAGCCCAGTTAAGAACCCTCACCCTCGATTGTACTTCTGTCTTGACACAATGCAGAGTATGGCCTGTAGCCTCTCATTAGAATGCCTAGGGTTCCAAACCTCATCTGTTTTACCTGGTTTGTGGTTCTGTGTGTGTGCTGGCGTTGAAGAAGCAGAGGTATAGACCTTAGGTGTCATAGGAACACTTGTGTCTCTGGCTGGAGTTAGAAATCAACATGAAAACAATGATTAATCAAACAGTAGGAAAGCAAGCACCCCATTCAAAAACTGTCCCCTTGCACACAAATGGGAGATGGTCTCTAGGCAGAATTCTCTGTCCTGAGTGCTTGTTCTTTGCCATAAGCCAAAAGGAAGCAGCAGCATTGAAAAGATTGGGAGGTAAGGACAGATATTTCACATTTACAATGAAGCAATTATTTTAAAAGACCAGTCATGCATATCATTCATTATGCATCCTTATAAATGACTGTGAGACAGGGAAGGTGTCTAGAGCCTGTACCTGTTGGGACACACGACTAAACCAGTCAGGGACACTCCAGGGGGAACATGGGCTGACATAAAATAATCACATAGAGACAGAGAAATACCTTTTCCTTTGGGTTCTGTGATAGCTCCTCTGACCCAGCTCCCACAAAGGAGGCAAGGCAGGCAAGAAAGAGAGCGAGAAGCACGTGCTGAACCCTTTTATTGGGGAGAAGCCATTCAAATGAGGCAAGGGGTCAGGGTTAAGGCTAGCTTCCTGATGCCTCGCTATCAGCAGGTTGACTGACATCTAGGAAGGCCACGCCCATCTCATGTGCTGTGTGGGGATCATAGGCAGAGCAACAGAAAGATGCTTACATTCCTTGTCCAAAGAGAGGGGCAACGTTGGCTCAGTCCACCCTGTGCACTCAGTGCTCATAGTTCACACACACACAGCCCATGACTGGCTTGCCACATCTACATTCTCATCGCTCAGGTCTAAGGGGCACTCGGTTCCTATGTGGCAGCTCCTGGTATGTACATTCCTTGCCCTCTTGGTGATAAGTGACTGACTTAAACAGTAGTTCTCAAGCCCACTGTGTTTACCAAATAGTGGTCCATTCTGTCCATCCTGAGGGTAGATGCCCCAAGGGCTTTCATCTAACTCAGGACTAAATCACACTCATCTACTATGCTAAAACACCTGCCACAACTTGTAGAAAGGAATTATATATTTGGTTACAAGGTGAACCAGACCTTCTAAGGTTGCTTCCCATCTAAGAGATACAGGTTGAGTATCCCTTATCCAAAATGTTTGAGAAGTATTTCAGAATTTGGATTTTTTTAAATTTCAGAATATTTGCATATACATAACTAGATATTTTAGGAATGAGACACAAATCTACATATAAAACCATTTATGTTTCATATACATTTTATACATATTGCCTGAAGGTAAGCTTCCATAATGCTTTCATTAATGCTGTGCATAAAACAAAGTTTCATACTGCAGAATTTTCCACTTGTAGGTAGTACCTGGACTATGTTAAAACTTTCAGATTTTGACATTTTGGATTAGGGATGCTCAACCCATTATTTAGGAATTGAAGTCAGCAAACTTTTCCTATAAGGGGCCACATAGTAAATGTTTTAGGTTTGGGAACCTAAAATATATGGTTTCAGTAGCAACTACTCAACCCTATCAATTTGCAAGCCACCACTGACAATGTATAAATGAATGTGTGTGGCTGTTCCAATAAAACTTTATTTATAAAAACAGTTGGTGGGCCAATTATATAATCTGGTTTGGCCCTGGAGCTATAGTTTGCTGATTTAACCTAAAGCAGAGCTGTAGGCTTGAACATATCCACTTTCCATCCCTTCACAGTTTAAAATCTAATCTCTGAGGAAAAAAAAAAGAATACATGCAAAAAGCAGATCAAAGGATGGGGAGGAGAAACTCTAATCAACTCATGAACTTTTCTTGCTTAGGGTATATTCCTCAGTAAGAAACTGGGAAACTACAAGGGTAGAAAGGGCTGTTAAGAAGCCCTTGGAGAGTTAAAGAGGAAGCTTAGAATTTTAAAAGCACAAAAACACTTAAGCAAAGAATTGGCTATTAGAGATTGTCACTTTGGCTCAGTTATGGACTCATGTTCTGACTGAACCAAACATTATTGTAAACATCTACCTATTAAAGAATTTCTAAACACTATAAAAGCCTCCTGCTAATTTTATTCTATGCTGTTTTTTAAAATTTAGCCAGGTCGATAATTTCACAACCTCAAGAAGGCTGCAATCATAATCCTATTATTTCTTCTCCACAAGCTGCCTCTCCACATCTTCCTACAGCACACTGTATCACCAGCTTTTTTTGGCTTCCTTAAATTGCCTCCGAGGCATAGTTTCTTCAGAGTCAGCTATTTATTCCAATAGAATTGACCTCATCTTGCTTGCCTTATAAGACAAACAAACCAAGTCCCAAAGCTGAGGGATTGCAAAATAAAGTTCCCCTTAATTTAAAACAAAGACAGGGCAGGGAGGGCTTTGAGGCTGTAGATCAGTGGCAGAGCGCTTGCTTGCCTAGCATGTGCAGGGACCTGGGTTCAATCTCAAATGCCCCAATAAATAAAATAAAATGAGAGCAAGAGAGACAGTTTATTGAGGCCACAGGTATTAGATTCGAGTGTCAAAATAAGACCTTAGTAGAAGGAGATTCATTAGGAAACAACACCAGAAACCAGGAAATCCTCAAGAATCTACTCCTTTCATCAAATAGTGAGAAAAGAAGAAAAATATAATGTTCCCAGATTTTTGGATTTCATGAACTTCTTATGAGCAACTGGTTAATAGGCATTGGGTGGCAAAAGCTTTCATATAAGGTCATTTTAATTTTTAAAGGGGGGTTTTGTGATAAGATATGATATCCAAGGTAGGGCAAGGAAAGTGTTAGAATTATATGCCTAAAGGTAGGAGTTCATAACCCACTTGAATCAAAGTGTGGAATATGATATGTCAAGAAATTTGTAATGTTTTGAACAACCCACAATAAAAAATTAAAAAAAAAAAGAATTATATGCCTAAACAATATTTATATGTGTGTATATACATATGTTTTCCATACATATAAATGTCATATATAAATAACTTACATTTAAAGTATTATAGCAATTTATATATAGTTGTTTATATATAAATTATATAAATAATTTTATATCTATAAAAATTTATATATATGTAAATGTTCAACAAGATTGAGTTGACAGCTGTTAAAACCAGATGTTGTATGTCTACACAGCAGTACCTTACATTACTCATTTTTGAGCTTTGAAATCCTTGGTGATTTTAAAATGTGAAGAATGGACATTTTAACATTCTTCTAAGACAAGATTTCAGGGGGAAAAAAGGGACAGTTTTTAAAGTTGAATAGATTCAGCTTGATAAAACTATTCATTATGTTTCACTATGGAAGAATAATGCGAGCAAGCATGTCTGAAGGAGGCTTTAGGGGGTTGTCTCTCATTCTAGCCTTTGGCCTTGAATCAAGGTTGGCCGAAGGACTTCATCTACGCAAATAAGTTATTCTGTTTCTCAAGAGCAAGTATTTGTCAGCAAACAGGATTATGTGAACCTTCTATTTCCCTATTAAAGGAAAACAGAAATTATTACCAAACAAAAAACTCAGTTAACTTCCAGGAAAAGATCAAAGGAAACAAAACAAGCTTACCTGGTTTAATCTCCAAGGATAAGGTGAGTTTCATATCATTAAACCACCCGCTATGCTCAATTCGACAACAATATAGGCCACTATCAGTCTTAGCTGCATTCTCTATGGTCAAAGACACATTCCCTTGCAAAAGGTTCCCCTCCAGCTTATAACGCCTGTGTTTCTGGAAGGTGACTTGAGATCCATCAGTCCAGATGAGTTCATTTGAGCATTTAGATGTAGGACATGCCCCTCGGCCCCAGCACATGGATGTGACTCCACTGGTGACTGAGTAGCTACAGGGAATAATGACCCGATGACCCACCACTCCACTCACTTGAGTATAGGAAACCACAGCATCTGAAACACAGGGAGCAGAAACTGAGAATGAGGTCTTGATATTTTCCTAAAATATTTTTTTCACTTTTTAATTTATTTATTCTCATGTTTCTTTTTACAGTTTGTTTCGTAGGCATGGCTTTATAGATTGATTTTGAAATTTTGATACTATAAACAGTTTTTAGCATATTCTTCAAATAAATGTTTTGTTTAATGGATATATTTGTAGACAATACAATTTATTTGCATTGGATGATTTTCAAGCTCTTCCTCATTATTACCATTGTAAGTAATGTGACAAAATCTTTCTATTAAACCTTTACTGTATTTAAGTTCCCTAGGGGGATAAATTTCTAAGAGAGAAATGACCAGGATAAAGGGAAGGAATATTTTCATCTTTTGATGAAGATGGCCAAATTGCTTTCAAAAGGTTTTAACCAAATGATACTCAAGTATTGCATGTATGTATTTTACCCTGTGTTCACCAGGTACCTGCATATTATTGATTTTTAAATAGGCAATGTAAACTTGTGGTTTTTAAAAATGAAAATAACACCAAGGATATTGAAGCCTAGAGAAAAGTCTCCTTCCCACTCCAGTGCCTCAGTTCTTTCTTCCAAATTCACTTGTATCCATTGAAATACTTTTTTTAAAAAAAAAAAAGAATTAATTCTATTGCACTTAAATTTCAATGTTTTAATTTTCATGGCCTTTGAAAACTGTTATTGCAGATGAAATCACCTCCTCACTACTCCACTTCTCCTACACAAAAGCAGGACTGATGTTTGTTTGAAACATTGTTGGCTTGAGGGCTGAAGTCTAATAGACTCTTCAGAAATTGATTTTTGGAAAATGGGGTTACAATACTTCCAGGAGCTGCTGAGTTTTACATGAGTGTTAGGATCAATCCAAAAGCCTTTTAAGCAGGGATCTTGTCATCAGTTGATGACAGCCCAGCAACTAAGCAAGGCTTACTAACACAAGGCAGCCACAGAATTGGAAAATATTTAAATGAGAACTAATTTGAGATTTACTAACTAACAGGCAGGACCAGGCTGTGAGTAGGAAATTTTCTGAGAGAAAAAAAAAAAAAAAGATCATTATTATATAAAATAAGGGTATATTTCTCACTGAATTTTTTTTAGTTGTTGATGAACCTTTAGTTTTTTTATGTATGCATATGCCATGCTGAGAATAAAACCCAGTGTCTCACACATACTAGGCAAGCAGTCTACCACTGAGCTACAACCCAGCTCTGAAACTCTCTTGATTTTGCCTAATGATTTTTGCAAATATAGCACATGATGTCATAATTAGTTTATAGAAGTATATAATTTTTAAAAAGAACCTTCTCCCATAATCCCACCCTCCAGGATTAGTCTTTAAAATTTAGGAAATGTTTATTCAAAACTTTCGCCCTGTGTACAGAAAGCTTTGAATTAAAATATTTTATTTGTTTTTTTTTTTTAATTTGTTTATGCTTTCCCACTGAGCTATATCCTCAGTCTTCTTTATGTTTTTATTTTGAGACAGGAGCTAGCCATGTTGCTGAGGATCTCCCTAAATTGCTGAAGTTGGCCTTGAATGTGTGTCCTCCTGCCTCAGTCTCCCAAATCAATGGGATTACAGGCATGAGCCACATGCAAGCATTTATTTTTAAATGAAATAAGTGAACATTGTTTAAAAACTCCAAAAGACAAAAAAGGAAGTAATGACAGGCTAACTCTCCCTTCTACCCCATCCCCACCTCCTCTGCCCAGCCCCCCCACACCCCAGGGTAATTACTATTTCTTACACACATTTGGCTATGCATATACATCTACCGCCCCTCTTTTTGTTCAAGCACAAATGGCAGCATGTGAAATATGTTTCTGCATCTTGTCCTGCTCACTTAGCAATCGATTTTGTAATTGATAGCCATTAAGCAATTTCTTTGGAGTAAGATTTCATCCTGGTTCTGCTCATCAGATAACCCATAACCACCTAAGAAACTGCAAAGAACAACTATCTTCCTTCACCATACCAAGTACCCACCCAACCCCCCAGCCCACCTGCTCACTTACCTGTTAGAAGCAGTATGAGGCTTAACACAACAACTTCAAGGTGCATTATGATGTTCTGATGGAAAATGAGAAAACAGACTGGTTGACTGTGGCCCCCACCAGATAGGATCGGAACAGGTCTTACTCTCAGAATGCAACTTCTCCTTTTGCCCTGACTGTGAACCACGTGAGCCTCCTCTGCTGGAGATGAGAGAAGGCCACATGTAATGGCTTCAGGGCTCCCTCAGCTCCCAGGAGGGCTCTGCTCCTATTCCTAATGGATAGGGAAAGTTGTCCTCCAAAACAATCTCTTATCTCCTAGTTCTTTCCCCCACATACAGCCTCAGTCTAACTCCTGGTCCTGACATAGGACATGAGGCAGTAAAAAAAAGCAACACTGAAAGCAGAGATAAAGTGTGACTCAATGGCACAACTTGAGCAAAGACCAGCCTTCCAATGGCAGAAATGGCCTTGTCCTCTAGTGGACACAGGGCTGTTCCTAATCAGGGGTCTCTGAAGGGTGGTCCACTAGCACAATGAAATCAACAATAATGTGAAGCACTAGGCCTAACCATTTCTGGAACCCAACATTATGACTCAGGCTACATCTTACTAAGCCATCCAGAGAAAACTTCAAGAAGTACTGGGCTTGGATCTGAGCTGTGCCACTTGCAAATCTGGGTAAGCAAAGCTAACTGAACTCCAAACCTTGATTTTCTCACTTATAAAATAACACTAAAATTACTTACTCTGTCTCTCAGAAAGGAATGGGTAGATAAGCAAAAAGTCCTGTGGTAGAACTTTGAAAACTAACCTAAACAGTGCACTAATAACATTAGCTAAAGTTTTTGAGAATCTGCTGTGGAGCAGACCCTGTGCCAAGCACCCACATACAAGCATTCAATCCTCACAAAGCCCCAAAGGCAGCTGCTTTTAACCCCATCTGTGGAGGAGGAAGCTCAGGCTTGGGGTGGTTGATATGCTTGGATTTCAGATTTCTGGCTTCTGACTTTGACTCTTAATCATTAAACCACAGAAACACAAGCAAGCCTGCCTAGTACTTGATTAACTCCTCTTCCGGGCTAAAGCTTCAGTAACTTCCTCCCAGGGAGACAGGGGTGCTATACTTCTAGCCTCCTTGCAGCCCACAACTGGTTTCATGGAGACATGGAAACTGTCTCCACGTCTCCATGAAACATACTGAGGCCCTGGGTCCCTCACTGCCCAACAGTGGGAAGCGCTGACTTTGCAGTCTCTCCTTGGGAGAGACCTGAAGCCTGATGCTACAAACCAGTGGCCCAAAGACTCTATCTGTCCTGCAGGGTGTTTTCCATGACAGTGTTTAAAACTTCATTTCTTCTGTTTCTCCTACGCTCAAAACTCTAGATAGGGCAGAGGGGTGGGAGGGGAAGGGAGGGGGTAGGGGATTAGCAATGATGGTGGAATGTGAAGGATATCATTATCCAAAGTACATGTATGAAGACATAAGTTGGTGTGAACATACTTTATATACAGAGATATGAAAAATTGTGCTCTACGTGTGTAATAAGAATTGTAATACATTCTGTCATGTATTTAAAAAATAAAATCAATTAAATATTTTTAAAAATAAAAATTAAAAAAGCTGTTGGCAGCCAAATATTAAAATAAATAAATAAAAGTTCATTTCTTCATTCAAAACTAAGATTTCAACATTCAGAGTCCACATCAGACTCAGTTTTTTTACTTTTTTTTTTTTTTTAAATAAATCAGATGGCCACATAAGAGCTATACTACTCTCTGCCCTTAGAGTCCTCTGGCTTGTCTCAGCCCCACATTGCAGGATGTCTCATGGGGCCTTCATGGACTATTGTTTGAAATTCTCTTCTAGAAAATGAAGGGATTGAATCATGATCTTTAGCCCCTTCCTGATTTCCAAAGGAAACCTCCAGGCTCTTTAATTCAACTGAGCAACAAGATGAGTTCTACCAAGGCATGAGCACATTTCTGGAGACTTGCTATCCTTGTATTTTCCTTTACTTATACATTGATTTAACAAAATGTAATGATATTCACTTTTCTGATCATTTTTCTGTTCTCCACCTTTTATGAAGAACACTGCTGACCCCATCTCGCCTACCAGAGGGAGGAGAAGCGATGCTGAAATTGGCTCACTCAGAATGAAATCCTGCCTTGTTTATTTGGGAGGCAAAATATTCCATGACTAGTTTTACCGTATTCAAAGATAATAAATGAGCCGACGTTTTGAAGAGCTTAATCCCGGTCTATGAGTCGTTACTATTACACCAAACCTAACGGAGCATGACTTAATACTAAGGATGCAAAAATCCAGGATTGTACAATCAGTCGGAGACACAGGTAAGTAAGCAACTAACTAATGAAGTCAGGCAGAGTGAGATAAATGGTAAATGTATAATCAGACCGTGTCATCTCCCACTTATGGAACCCCTCCCATAGTTCTCTCTGGAAGAAAACAAAAAATCCTAACTCCTTACTCAGATTTTTATAAAGTCCTAGTAATCTGGTCCTTCCTATTGCTCAAATATCTTCTTCTACCATGCTGTCCCCTGCCACCTGACCCCAGCCACTTGGACTTTCTTTCACATTTATCTCTGCATTAGGGCTCCTTCTTTCAGCCCACCCATTTCGCATCTTCCTTTTGCCTTTTGAACCTGGTTAAATGTCACCTCTTTAGACATTTCTTCTCCTCCACTCTCAATCTAAAGTAGCCAACCAGCCCCTCTGTCTATTATTACACTATTTCAATCCTCTGGGAATCAGCTGGGTATAGTGGCTCATGCCTGTAACCCCAGTGACTCAAGAGGCTGAGGCAGGAGGATTGCAAGTTTGAGACCAATTTCAGCAATGTAGCAAGGCCCTGAGCAACTTCGTGAGATCCTGTCTCAAAATAAAAAATAAAAAGGGCTGGGGGTGTAGTTCAGTGGTAAAGCACCCCTGGGATCAATCATCAGTACCAAAAATAAATAAATAAATACTGTTTTTTAGAATTTTTCATTTACTTTGATTTTGATTAAGATTTTAGTTATTACACAGAGCTACACTGTTGGACAGCACCCAACTCTATAAACTTCTTTAAGGCAATTTAAATATTGATTGAATATAAATAAATGGAAGTCCAAGTCATGGGGAGAGATGATTCATTTTGGCAAGGGTAGAGGGAGAAGGGGGTGAGAGAAAATTCCTTAAAAAGTGTCATGTGAGATTAATAGTTGAAGAAAAACAAGAAGGGGTGGAAGGTGCTTGAAGAGGAGGAAATAAGGAAGGAAAGTCAAGACAAGGATGTGGGACCTCAGCTCTGAGACGTTGAATAGCTATACAATTCCACAGTGTTCAGTTTTGTTTGGGTTTTCTTTTGCAATACTGGGGATTGAATCCTAGGGCTTTTCACATGCTAGGCAAAAAATGTTCTACCATTGTGCTGCACCCCAGCCCTTTATACTTTATTGTGAGACAGAGTCTTTATAAATTGCCAGGCTAACCTTTAAATTGCATTCCTCCTGCCTTAGCCTCCTGAGTAGCTAAGGGTTTTGTTTGTTTGTTTGTTTGGTTTGGTTTGGTACCAGACATCGAACCCAGGCAAGCTTAACCACTGAGCAACATCCCAGCACCCACCCCCCCTTTTTTAATTTTTTGAGACAGATTCTCGCTAAGTTGCTCAAAGCTTCACTAAGTTACTGAGGCTGGCCTTGAACTTGTGATACTCCTGTCTTAGCCTCCTGAGCTGCAGGGATTACAGGTGTGCATCACTATGCCTGGTGGACTCACCCCTTAACCCAGCTCCACAACTAGGCAATCATTACAGCCACCCACTATCCTCATTCCCATCACTCTATACCAAACCTGGATAGCCTAGAATCCTACAGTTCCCCTCACTGTTGCCTCACTACCTTCCACAGCCCTCTTCCCACCCCACCCAATGCCCTGACCTGGCGATTTTCCTTTTCTTATACACTGATTTAACAAAATGTAATGATATTCATTTTTCAGATCATAAATATAGATATAAAAATTTCAAATTATGCATGTTTATCGTGGATAATAACAATATAACATAATAAACATCATATAAATAATAATATTATATAATGCAATACAAAAATATAATGATAATGGATAATAAAAATATAACTAAAAATGTACTCAAACAATAAATATGGACTATCTGTAATTTACTGACATTATTCTATTAATTTGGGATATACCAATGAACCAAAGACCTCTGTGGGGTGTATCTTAAATTTAACTTAGAAGATAAGTGTATAAATTTAGAAAAATAACAAAAGTATCATTTATTAGTATATTTGCAAAGTGATGAGTGCTAATATAAAAAAGAAGAAGAAGAAGAAGAGAGCCAAGGCTCAGGGAGGTTAACAGCTTGCTCACCGTCACATGAGTGTGTGAGTGCAGACAGCCAGCTCTCAGGCATGAGTGAGCAGGTGAGAAGAGGGAACAGAAACAGAGGTAAGGAAGCCAGGGAGGCAGAGCTGGAGAGAGGTGGGGGTACAATTTTAGATAACGTGGTCGGGTTTGAACAGGGTTTCCACTTCCACTGAGAAGGTTCTATTAAACAAGGCCAAAGAACAGAGTCAGTCACTCCAGAAAGAGCTTTCTGTGAAAAGGGAAGTAGGAGAGCACCAGCCCCGTGACAGGGGAGGGCCTGTGTGTTGGGAGAGGCCAGTGAGCCCCCCCACCAGAGTGAGGCAGACAGCATAATGCTGAGGAGCAGGTGGGGAGGGGAAGACAGACTCACGGACTCATGAGGCTTTGTCTGAGGACTCTCCTTTTCATGAGGACTCTCCACATGAAAGGAAAAGAGTGTCCTGCAGGTGACAGGATCTCACTTCCTTTGAGCAGGATTCTGTGGCCACTTGGTTGAGAAGCAGAGAAGCCCCGGGGGGTATCTGCTGTAGGGATTCAGAAAGGAAGGGATAGCAGGAGGGGACAAAAGAACCTCTGGCACTCAGGTGCTGTGTGTTCAGAAGGTTCAACAAACACCTCTCTGAGGGATTTGAGAAGAGGAGGAGCTTGGAGGTGACTTCAAGGGATTTGGGCCTAAGCTGTGGAAAGACAAGAGGTGCCACCAAGAGGAGGAACACTGGATCACAGGCATTCCGGGAAATAGTCTGGGTTTTGGACAGGTGGAGTTGGAGGTATCTTCTAGACCCAAGTGGAGATTGCTGAAATTCAGGGGGGAGGTCTGGGTTAAAAATACACATTAGGATCGCTGGCTTAGAAATGGCATTTGAAGTCAGTCACAGTGGCATACACCCATGATCCCAGCTACTTTGGAGGCTGAGGCAGGAGAAGCAATAGTAAAAGGCCAGCCTCAGCAACTTACGTGTTTCAAAATAAAAAATAAAAAGGGGCTGGGGATGTGGTTCAGTGGTAGAGTTCAATTACCATGGTGGGGGAGGGGGCAGGCCACAGGCCAAAAAAAAAAAAAAAAAAAACAGTATTTCAAAGCCAAGAGCCTGAATTGGATCACAAAGGAGCACCTGTGGCCAAGAATTAAGCCCCGGGGCCTTCTGCCAGGAAAAGGAAGAAGAACCAACATAAGACTGGAGGCAGACTAAGAAAGGAAAGAGGAAAAAGTAAAAGGAAGTCAAAAGAAGCAAATGCACCTGGCAAATATCACAAGACAGAAGTTGCAGCAGCAGGAGTTGAGATATTCCCGTAGCATGGAGCCACCTGGAGATTACCAGTGACCTGAGTGTGTTACTGAGAATTTTACTTCAAAAAAAAAAATTTTTTTTACTTCAGTTAAAAAAATAGAATAAAATCAGGAGATAATTGTAAACGGCGAATGCTTTCAAGGAGTTTTACAAACAGCAAAAATGAAGGAAGGTAAGTTGGAGAGTATGGTAAGAGAGAGATTTTTTAGTGAGAGAAATAACAGTAGATATGTATGATCTGGAAATGATCTAGAGAAGGAAGAAAAAATGATTAAAGAAAGGGAAATTTTGCTGAGCAATGGAGGAAAGGAATCTATGCCTGTTAGAGGGTTTGGTTTAGATCTCGCATCAGAGATAGGAATTTGGGAATAAAGGGAGAGATATAGAGTCTCAGGAGTGCCTACAAAACCCTGAAATGCAGGATACACCCATGAACAATTGCAGCTCCTCAGGGAGGTACCCTTGGGCCACACCCTTGACCCATGCCCTTGTAACAAGAGAACAATGCACAAGTGCAGGGAAACTGGTGTGGAACTGTGTGATTCCACTTTACTCCAACCCCAGTAACCATCCTTCTGTACATATCAACACCCGCAACGACAGGATACTGTCTCTCCCTCTGGAAATGGTGGTGTTCTCCTCTTAGTCGGTATTCCTTGCTTTACCCCAAAAGCTTCGCTTCTCTTGAGGTGGCTCCCAATCTCCCTTGACTATGTATCTACTTTCCTAAATAAACCTTTGTCTAATGCCTTTGACTGGACATTGCTAAAATCCCTTTCCATCCCATATGCCAAGAACCCCCACTGGCCCTGAGTCAAGTTCCCTCAGCTCTCTGGGGACTCCTTGGACCCTTCTTCAGAAACACATATTCTCACATGACAGTCTCACAGGTGCATGCTCTCAGTGGGTACGTCTATAGAAGCTCTGGGTTGATGGCTTCCTTGGTGAAGTTAGAACTTCATCAAAAGCTCACAATGACAATGGAAAAGAGATCTGAGAAAAGCTTTCTGAGAGTGGATGCACTAAGGTCGAATGTGCAACCCTCGTGGAGCACCTGGGTGGCACTTTAATTAAGGGGTCAAGAAGGGGAACCCAGTCCCAGAGGACCAAGGTCTCCAGCTCTCTGCAGCTGCAGGCCCTGGGGGAGATAACTGTTTTCAATCTTCTCAGGCATTTCTCTAAATATCTCCCCTACCCTAAGATCATTCAATGGTTTCCCACTACCTTGGAGGCAAACTCCAATCCAAGATGCTGACCTTCCCTGGCAGGCCACACCCTTCTACTCCATTCCTCGCACAACCAGAAACAAACCAAAACACTTGTGCCTGCTCCTATTGAACTTTGTCAGTTTGTCACCAAAAGCTTGGTCCTTGTCCCCAGTGTCAAGCCAATAATAAGGACACAGCTTTGAGAAAAAGGAAAAAAGAAAAAGAAGGCTTGTTGCTTTGCTAGCAAAGAAGAAACACAGGGACTCCTGTTCCAGAAGCTGTGATTCTGCCCATCAGGAGGAACAGGGGGTTTTAAAGAAGTGAGTCAAAGGCTACATTCCAGGTGCCCTCTGTTGGAGCTGTAATTCACTTGCTAATTTGGGAGATAACCATTCCTGAGATCTTCTTGTACCTTTCCCAAAGTATGGACTACTTCCTTCCTCTATGGTGGGTGGGTGCTCAAAGACAACTAACTGCCCAAAATAGGGAATGAAGGTAATCCTGTATCCCCTGAGATTAGGAAGGAACAGGGAGAGAACAAGAGAAAGAAACACGTCCATTTTAAAAATTAGTTGCAGTAGCAGAACAGCCAGGGCTATCTGCAAAGCATAAAGTGGACCCCTGTTAAAAGTTCAGTGGTTTCTACCATAAACCTGCAAAAGTTGGTAGCCAACATCAGCCAACATAACACTAGAAATTGAGTTATTTTTTTATAAATATTTTACAAATCACAAAAGTCAATGAACAAAACTGCTAATATGACTATGCCCTCTATTCATAAAATGCTGTTTCCATATCATGTAATATTATAAAATACCTACATATACTGGCCTAAGTAATATAGCTTAATCCAAAGGTTCCACACGACAGGTTTCTTCCTCCCTGTTTCTCATGCTAACCTTGTTCACAAAAAGCTCCAGTAATTCAGCTATATAAGCCTATTATTCTATTTAAATGAGACTCTCTCAGACAGGCACAGTGGGACATGCTTGTCATCCCAGCAGCTCAGATAGGAGGATTGCAAGTTCAAAGCCAGCCTCAGCAATTCAGCGAGGCCCTGTCTCAAAATTAAAAAAATAAAATGGTCTGGGGATGTGGCTCCTTGGTTAAGCATCCCTGGGTTCGATTCCTGGTACTAAAAATAATAATAAATATAAATATCTCCCCCAAGTCCAAAGAGCTCCATTTTATGTACACTTCCCCTATTCTACCAACTCTGTCCTCATGGGGCCTAGTGTCCTAATCCCATGTAACACTGAGAAAGTCCAAGCTGCGGTGGGTGTTCTGGCTTTGTCTTTAGAGTGAGTCTGCAGAGTGCCCCACTCACCCCACTCACTGATGAGTCAGCAGACAGGTCTTGGCACAACCTTTCCTTCAGGTGGTCGGTCACATTCCCTCCAAAGGTTTTCATAGATAAAGAAGGCTTCTCCCGGATTCCACTGCTTATCTCTTGGCCACACCCTTAAATAAGAGCACAGGGAAGTGTGTTTGAAAACAGAGTCTCTTCAATCAGCCAATCTTTGACCCACTTGCTAATTTAAACACATTCTAGGGAAATATTAGTGGACTAGAATAGTATCTGTTTTCTGCTGGGCTGTTTGTTTTCTTCTGTTTGTTGTTTTTTGTTTGTTTGTTTGTTTTTGTTTTTAATGATCTCCCTGTTTCCATAATTCCTAAGAATTATTCATACAGCACCCAGTGAGGGGTTTATCTTTGTTTTTGTGGTACTGGGGATTGAACCCAGGAGTGCTCTGCTACTGAGATACATCCCCAGCTCTTTTTTTATTATTTTTAATTTTGAGATGAGGTCTCACTATGTTGCTGAAACTAACCTGGAATTTGCGATCCTCTTCCCTCAGCTTCCTGAGTAGCTGGGATTATAGGCGTGCACCACCAGACTCTGCTGGGCTATTTAAAAAGATTCAACAAAGATAAAAATTTTAAATCAAAATCTAAGTCTGAAAAATCACGCAGACTTTGAGATGGTGGTGCATGAAGCTCCTTTAAACACCTGGGCCAACCCCCTCAATGTGCAGATGAATAAACAAATCAAAAAAGAGGAACAGCATCAAGGACCCGTCCACATCAGTGGGGCAGATGCAGAAGTGAAAGCCGGTTTTAACTACCTCTGCTCCACTGTTCTGCCATTCAACATGTTATTTTAATAAATGTTTATTAATCAACCCAGGCTAAGTAAGAATGGAACATTCTATGCAAATAAAAAACTACTATCTCTCCCCTAAGAAGTTTAGGAAAATAAACTGACATCTTCAAAAATCTGTACCACACCCGGCATAGTGGCGCACACATGTAATCCCAGCAGCTCCAGAGGCTGAGACAGGAGGATCACAAGTTCAAAGCCAGCCTCAGCAAAAGCGAGGGGCTAAGCAATTCAATGAGACCCTGTCTCTAAATAAAATACAAAATAGGGCTGGGGGTGTGGCTCAGTGGTTGAGTGCCCCTGGGTTCAATCCCCGGTACCAAAAAAAAAAAAAAGAAAATTAGAAGCATAGCAGGTCCCAGTGTGATTTATATATACCCTTCAGATGTCATTAACATTAATTGAGAGGACCAGGGTTCTGAAGTTGTATACAAGGATGTTAGGAGTGACCAGTTCCTGTGTACTACAGAATGTTTCCTTAGAGAATTAAGAGATTGTGGGGCCTCCTCAGTCCTGGAACCAAAATTATGTTCACTGTCCACTTAAAGACATTGAAGATAACATCACATTTGTTTCTGGATTAAGATGTTCACTTTTAACCAGCGTGCCCTGCTGCATTATCATCATATGCAGATAAGGCATTTCCTCTATATCCATCTTTGGAAGAAAATGGGTCAAAGAGATTTAATAGCATTAGGATTTTACTACATAAGTTTAGGATAGTTTTTTTAAAAATATTATTTACTTATTTTGATAAGGAGGATTGAGCCCAGGGGCACTTTAACACTGAGTTATATCCCCAGCTCTTTTTTATTTTGAGATAGGGCCTCACTAAATGGCTGAGGGTCTCATAAATTGCTGAGGCTGGTCTCAAACTTGTAATTCTCCTGACTCAGCCTCCAGAATGCTGGGATTCCAGTGCTTGGATACCATGGTGCTAGGCTAGGATAGTTTTTTTAAAGAACACCCAAAGAGTATACTCCCAAACCAAGACCTGGGCACCAAGCTGAGTTGCAGCCACTTGTGAGATGTTCACTGTTCTGTCAAAACCCTCATTAAAGCCTTGGGATGGTGGTGGCATTGTTTTTAATACTTGAAGTTACTACTCTCCATCTCCTGGGCCCTTTCCCCTTCTCTGGTTTTGTTTTTGTTGTTTTTCCCTGTGTACCTTCTCCATTATAATACTAGTGTAGAGTGAATCCTACTCTCAAAAACCAAGATCCCAGGCCTGGCTTACTGTCACATCCTACTGCCGACCTTGACCTTAACCCATCCAGGTCCTCATTTCTTCCTATGAAAAGGAAAGCAGACAGGAAAACACTGCTATAATCTTTAAAATTCAATTTTTATTACCAAAGAAAATGGATAAAATAATTAAAGTATAACAGGAAAAAGAAAGAAAGAAAGAAAAAAGTGAAAGTCTTTCCCAACCTTTTGTCCCAATGATATAACAATATTAATTTTGGTATATTCTTTTTTGTTGTTTTTCTTTTCTTTTTTTCCATACTAGGAAGGGAGACAGGGTCTCACATGTGCTAGGTGAGTACTCTACCACTGCATTACATTCCCAGACCCTTTTTAAATTTGGAGACAGGGTCTTGCTATGGTGCCAAAGCTGGCCTTGAATTCACAGTTCCCCTGACTCACGGCAGTGGAATTATAGGCATGCAACCACTGCGCTCAGTCTCCCATAATTTTAAGGACAAAACAAACAAAAAATCAATTACATACACTTAGTCTAGAACTACTTTTCCTTTCGCTTAATCGCAGAGCTTTGTCAAAGGACAAGTAGCATCAGAGTCATGAGAGCAGAGTTGTTTTGTTATGTTTGTTGTTGTTGTTGTTACCAGGGATTGAACTCAGGGGCTCTGAACCATATCTCCAGCCCTTTTTTGCATTTTATTTAGAGACAGGGTCTCACTGAGTTGCTTAGAGCCTTGCTAAGTTGCGAGACTGACTTTGAACTCTTGATCCTCCTGTCTCAGCTTCCCAAGTAGCTGGGATTACAGTGTGCCACTGCCCCCTGCTGAGAGCAGAGTTTTGACTGCTTTGGTCACTGCTGTTCTAGATATCACAACAATGCCTGTCCAAGAGTAGTTGCTAATAAATGTTCATTGAATGGACAAATGGACATGAATTCTCCTTCCTATCAGACTAAGTGACATTTCATGTGGCCAGGGATTTGCCTTTTTTGGCCCCGCTCCATGATCCCAGCACCAAACACAGTGCCAGAACATAGTAACCACTTAATAAGTATTTGTTGAATTAACCAAAAAACTCAATGAAACTTCCTAGTTCGTTTTAACTGAACCATTTAATCAACAATTTTTCGATTGATATAGAAAATCTCTTATGAATACCCTTGCAGTAATCATATTTGTATAATATTCTTGTTTAAAGATTTTTATAGGATAGGAATATCGTTGGGGAGAAATCATTGATCTGGTCCAAATGTGTTCTCATGTTCTTTCTCACTAGAATTTCATGATTTTTATAAAACACTTGTGTTTAATTTGTCAGCCTGTATGAGAACTGCTGCCTACAATATTAGTTTTGCAAAATGATCTCTCTTACATATCAGCTATAGAAAGCCAGTGCTCTCCAAATCTCTTTATTTATAGCCGAAATTCCATCTAATTCACACAATAAGACTTCCAGAAAGACTTGTAAAAACAAACGGGCTGCCTGCATGCTCAGTGACCAACATCTTCTCTGTTCAATCCAGTAGCAATTTCCTCCTCAGCTAGCAGTGGAGGAGTGATTTTCAGTCAGCAACACATCCATATTGTTGATTCACTCCCCCCCCCCACACACACACACACCCAGTATTGGGTATTGAATCTAGGGGAATTCTATCGCTGAGCTACACCCAGCCTTTTAATTTTTTGACACAAGGTCTCACCAAGTTGCCCAGGCTGCCCTTGAACTTGTGATTCTCTTGCCTCAGCCTCCAGAGTCAGGGATGACAGACATATTTCACATTCTTTATGTGCTAAGGAAGGCAGAAAGAGAAAAACATAAAAGAGTAACAAGATCCTGAATAGAAAGATGTTATTGAGAAACAAAGGCCACTTTGGCCAGATAAGAACAGATATGGAAGCTTCAGAGTATTTGTGAATTCTTCGAGAAGTTACAGACTCGAGAAGTTATAGACGCGTGCTCTGTCTGAGCTCTGCAATGGAAAGTCTCTCCAGAAAGTTCCCTTTCTGCATTCTGAAGTTATTTAGCAAGTTTCAGAGTCAGGCAAGAGCCTGGAAGGCAACAATAAACAAGACAAGGATAGTCTCTGCTATCTTAGAATTTAAGTTCAGGGACCACTGTCTTTCCATTAAGGGGTCTGATGCTGACAAGACAGATTGCTGGAAGCCTTTGCCTCCTTTTCATCAGGAAACAGAGTCTCAGTCACTAGTTCTTCTGTGAAAATACAGCTCCAGTTCTCTCCATGAATGGAGAAGTTGGGCAGAGATATTTCCCTTTGAGAGTGCAACAAGCAAAACTTGGCCACACACACACACACACACACACACACACACACTCCTTTTCCCCATGTTCTCCGGCCACACCACAGGCCTGCTGAGTTGTCTTCTTAACTGAGGCAGAGGTGAGCACTTACCATTGGACAGGCAACATTCAAAAAAGCATAAACTCAGAGGGAAACTTCAAGATCATTCCTTTCTTTTTTATTTATTTTTTAGTTATAATTGGACACAATACCTTTATTTTTATGTGGTGCTGAGGATCGAACCCAGCACCTTGCACGTGCTAGGTGATCACTCAACCTACCGCTTAGCCCCAGCCCCAGCCCCTCCTTTCGTAACTTAACCTTTTTTTTTTCTTTTCTTTCTTCTTTTTCTTTTTTTTTCAAGCTTTTTATTTTTTATTTTAAGATAGTATCTCCATAAGTCACTTAGGGCCTTGCCAAGTTGCTGAAGCTGGCCTCCAACTTGGAATCCTCTTGCCTCAATCTCCCAAATTGCTGGGATTACAGGTATGTACCACAACATTCGGCTTATTGGACCCTTTTAAGGATTATAGACCTCCATGAAAATCAGTGCCCCTTTAGACTGTCTGTACTGAAGAAGAAAAGCACATGTCTCGACACACAGTATACTCTACATTTTCAGGAGCTTCACAGTCACATCATAAGCCTGAATTTCTTGGAGAGATTTCATATCAAGAATCCCTAATGTGCATAAAAGTACATTTGAAGTCTAATGCCCATGATTGGCAGTCTCTGGGTTGGATACCCCTGTTAGCTGGGATACAGAGGTAATGATGTACAGCAAAGGTCACGGTTGAACCCCAATGTGAGCTAATTATCTCCAGAAAATAGGAACACTCTTCTTCATGCCCCTGGACAGAACCTGTAAAACCAGTTAGCTGACACGTCTTAGTTTTGAAAAAAACAACACCAAGGTCAAAAATGAAGGTGCTGGATTCAATGGCATAAAAAGGTGAGAACCCAGAGGTGGTCAGTATTGCTGCTCACTGCTGATATAGCAGTAGTCCTCATTCGGGTCCTCCATCTCATATATGTTTTCCTCAATGATGTAGATGTTCTCCTCTGAGCGCATCCTGTCTGCTGCTGCATTTGCCAATCCTGAGGGACGGGGGTTGGCCAGCGTGATGAGACTGTGAAAAGAAAAGTGTTGGGGTTGATTTAAGCATTCCGCAGGCAACATGGAACGAGGTTAAAAGATTAGGCTTTAAGATGGGTGTGGAGGCATGCGCCTGTAATCCCCGCAGCTCAGGAGGCTGAAAACAGGAGGATCGCGAGTTCAAAGCCAGCCTCAGCAATGGCAACTCAGTTAGACCCTGTCTCTAA